TTTTTTATTGATTTCAGAGAGGAAGGGAGAGGGAGAGAGATAGAAACATCATTGATGAGAGAGACTCATTGATCGGTTGCCTCCTGCACACCTCACACTGGGGATCGAGTTCCCTGACGGGGAATCAAACCGTAACCTCCTGATTCATAAGTCAGTGCTCAACCACTGAGGCACACTGGCCGGGCGGTAACTGGTTTTCTTTATCCCTTTTGGTGGGGTCCGGGGCTGGGAGCCGAGCGTATGAAGGTACCCCCTCCGTTTCAGGGTGCGAGGCACGGTGTCGGGGTGAAGCCTCGCAGCAGGTACTGACTTCCTTTAGATTCCCACGCTAACCGTCCCATCCAGGGAGCGGCACGGCGATAACCGCTTCGCTGTCGGGGAGGAGAAACCAGTGTCGCTTCACTCCTCACAGAGAACAGACTGCACCTGGAGTCATAGTGACCTGTGCTCCAAACACAGCAACCCACGCAGAACGTTAAAGGCTGGAATGAGTTACCAGCGACTCTCCGGTGGACTTTGGACGGGAGGGGGCTCGCTCAGCTTAAAGGGGAACAGGACAGAAAAAGGCGGTGCACGTTTTACCACGTAACAGATTTAAATTTCAGCCCGGCTGATGCGGCTCAGTGGTTGCGCCTCGACCCAGACACCGAAAGGTCACCGATTCAATTCCCAGTCGGGGCTCATGTCCAGGTTGTGGGCTCCGTCCCCAATAGGGGGCGTGCGGGAGGCAGCCCATCAGTGTTTCTCCTTCCTTCTCCCTTCCTCTTTCTCTAAAAACAAAAACAATAAAAACAAAACATCGGAGCTTTAAGAAATTTTTTTTGAATTTCAGATGATTAACACATGACCAAAATTGAAAGGCAGACAACCACCCATTTAAAGAAAAAAAAATGTCTTCACGACATTTACTCCGGAGGGGAGCCCGCGTCTCGGCCGTAGCTCCTGTGAATAAAACAGATAAAAAGTTCAAAGGCTTTCAGAACGCAGTTCTCAGAAGAGGAAGCGCAGCCGGTGAGCAGTCGCTGCTCTCAGCGCCGGCCACATTAAAACCAACGATACGCAAGTGAACGGGAGACACCGTTTTCACCTTTCGAATCAGAAAAACCTCTTTAAAGACACTCCAGGCTGGCAGGACTAAGTAGGTTTTCTGTTCTGCTTTGAGGAGTGAAACTAGAAAAATCGTTGGGGAGGAAAAAAAAGGGCTGTGTATGTCAAGAGCCTTAAACACAATGATACGAGGTGATCTAGGGCCTAAGAATTTAATACCAAGAAAATCACCGGAAAAAAGATTCACGCCCTAGGACATTCCTCAGACTGTTCGCAGTCGGAAATGTCGACACGGCGAAGTAGCCAGCACCAGGGACCAGAGCTGCGGTGTCGGTGAGAAGGGGACGCGTGTGAAGGAGAACATCTGTGTCAGGTGGTGAACGCGGGCTATAAAGTTGTGATTCACAGATAGGTGGTAGCTGTGCAAACAGGACAGGGGGAAATGGGAAGAAAATACACAGAATGCTCATAAAATTATTACTTTGGGTGACTTGATTATTGATGGTTTGCCCCCCTCCTTTCTACATTTTTCTTAAACCCTGGCCCGAGGATATGTTTATTGATTTTAGAGAGAGAGAAAGGGACAGACATTGATGTGAGAGAGAACATCGATTGGCCGCCTCCCGCAACACATCCCAACCAGCACACCCCAACCGGGGCTTGAACCTGCAGCCCGGGCGTGTGCCCTGGCCAGGAATTGGACCCGGGACCTCTGGTCTGAGCCACGTGGTCTGGCTAATGAACTTTCCCACCCGTCTGATCCCCCTAGTCCTCCGAGAACATCCCGCCAGGCTATGAAGTGGTGTCCCTTCTGGAGGCGCTCAACGGGCCCCTCACCCCGTCCCCCGCGGTCCCTCCACTCCACGTGCTGGGCGACGGCCACCTCTCAGGAATGCTGCCCGCCTACGGCAGCGACGGCCACCTGCCCCCTGTCAGGACGCTCTCCCCGCTCGACCGCCTGCCCGACGGCAGCAGCCAAGGACTCAAGCTCAAAAGGAGTCTCTCCAAGTGAGTCACCGGCACGCGCCCGCCCGTGTGGCCCGGGGTCCTTGGCGGGGTGCTCCCAGCCATCCCCCACCTCCTCAGCGCCGCTCCCCACCTGGGTGCCTGGGCAGGGGGGGCCCGCTGGGCCATTCCCAGAGCGTCTCGTCTCCCGGGAGACCTGGGGCTGATCCCTGGGGGAGCTTACCCCAGCCCTTAGGAGAGGAAGGTGAGATGGCAGGCGCGGACGTAGGGGGACCAGATAGACAAATCTCTTAGGCGTTCTGTTGGGGGGGATGGGGTCCAGTGCATCATTTAGTCCAGTGATGGCGAACCTTTTGAGCTCAGCGTGTCAGCATTTTGAAAAACCCTAACTTAACTCTGGTGCCGTGTCACATAGAGAAATTTTTTGATATTTGCAACCATAGTGAAACACAGACATATTTTTGATATTTATTTTCTATATTTAAATGCCATTTAACAAAGAAAAATCAACCAAAAAAATGAGTTCGCGTGTCACCTCTGACAGCGTGTCACAGGTTCGCCGTCACTGGTTTAGTCTGAAGATGAAAGCAACCTTGGGATCTGTATCTTTTAGGCATTTAAAGCCGACGGACGAGGCGCAGACTGATAAGCTTTCTGCCGTAGCGTCAGGGAAGGCGGCTTCTACACCAGGGTGGGGAGCGTTTTCCTGCCAGGGGCCATTGGATGTTTATAGCATCCTTCGCGGGCCATGCAAAATTAAAAATTAGCTGCTGTATCTGGTCAAACATTTAATTAACTCATTCCTACTGCCTTGGCGGGGCCAGACCAAATGATTCTTTCGAGGGCATGGCCTGCGGGCCGGACGTTCCCCACCCCTGTTATAGAGGAAAATATTAAGAGAGCAGGAATTTCAGTGGTTTTTCCCAAGTTTACACACAAGTTATGGAAGCAGCTGAAGAGAAAGCTCAGATGTTCTGATGCCCACGAGCGGGCTCCGTCCCTCCCGGTGCTCTGCCCACCTCCCCGCGCCTTAGGGTTTGGGGTGCTCTGCGCGGTCCGCCCCTTCCTGCGGGGTCTGTTGGGAACGGGAGGGTCTTCATGCGACCAGCGGCCCAGCTGCTGTTCCCTCCGACAGGTCCATCTCCCAGAACTCCTCCGTGCTGCACGAGGAGGAAGACGAGCGTTCCTGCAGCGACTCGGAGACGCGCCTCTCTCCGCGGCCGGCCGCGCAGCAGCCCGGAGAGGTAGCCTGCACCACCCTCCCTTCGTGGGGGTTGGACTCCAGGGCATGTCGGATGCCCGGTCAGGTCCACCTGCTGTCATTCATTCGTCAACACCTTTTTTTAATTTTTATAAATATGTTTTTATTGATGTCAGAGAGGAAAGGAGGAGAGAGAGAGAGAGATGGAAACATCAATGATGAGAATCATTGATATCGGCTGCCTCCTGCACACTCCACACTGGGGATCGAGCCCGCAACCCAGGCACATGCCCTGACCGGGAATCGAACTGTGACCCCCTGGTTCATAGGTCAACCCTCAACCACTGAACCACACTGGCCGGGCCGCCAAACACCTTTTGAACCCTCTCTGAGACGGCAGCAGAGGTTTCGTTCAATTCATTTATTCATGAGCCTGTTACTTACCTGTCGCTGTTCCGTCTGCCGAGGGCAGCAGCAGGGAGGAGACCGCCAAACCCTGCCTGGTGGCGCTTATGTTCTTGATGGTGGCGTGGGGGGGCCCCCGAAAGGCAGTAAGTGAAAAACGTGTGTCAGAGGGTGCTGTGTTCGCTGTGGCTGAGGAGGCCAGAGGTGGGGTTGCTGTCTTTACGGAGTGGCCCGTGAACACAGACCGAGGGAGGAGGCGTGAGAGCCAGCAATGCAGGCATCCGGGGAAAGGGTGCGGGCACAGGACACCCTGGGAGGACGTGTGGTGGAGGGAAGGAGTTGGGGTTTCCTGCCTGTGCCCCCCTGACGGGTTCTAGGTAACACAGGCACATTGCACCCCCTCTCGGCAAGGCAGTGAGCTGGGCCCGGGAGCAGGCGGAGATGACAGCAGGGTCCCGCCCTCAGGAGCTTGAGGACTAGTGGGGACAGGACATGTGCAGTGTCTGGCACAGAGTCGTTGCTCAGTTAAGTGTGGTTTGAATGAATGCATGAATTAATTAAGTTAACAATAGGAGACAATTGTGCCCAAGGCAGGGACCGTCAGCGCTGGGCCAGAGGTGGGAGAGATGGCGCGTGAAGAAAACCATGCGTGTGAGAGAGTGGGGATTCTTAGAAATGGAGAGAAAAGGGAGAGAGATGCTGGGGATGGGGAGACGTCCAGGCTCTGAGCAGGTCAGTGGTTCCGTGAGAGCTTTGTGTCCTGAAGGCCCACCTGCTGGGGCAGAGTCGATGGATTAGGGGAGACAGACTGAGCCTGGGTGGGAGGGAGCCCAGAGCTGGGATCGCAAAAGCACGCTGGTTCCGGCCGGCGTGGCTCAGTGGCTGAGCATCGAACTATGAACCAGGAGGTCACAGTTTGATTCCTGGTCAGGACACGTGCCTGGGTTGTGGGCTCGATCCCCAGTAGGGGGCGTGCAGGAGGCAGCCGATCAATGATCCTTATCATTGATGTTTCTATCTCTCTCTCCCTTCCTCCCTGAAATCAATAAAAATACATTTTTTAAAAAAAGAAAAAGCACGCTGGCCTGGAGACAAGAGAATGGGCTGTGGAGCTAGAACCCCTAGGACTTCGCACCTGCGGGGGGTGCTGGGGACGCTGGCCCAGCTGGCGGACAGTGGGGTGTCAGGGCAGGGCGGGCCGGGGAAGGGGCTGCTGTGTGAGACGACTGAGCTGGAACTAACCCGACATCCGAGGGGGTGCCCTGGGGTGGGCAGGCAGGCGGGCGGCCTTTGCTGCTCTGTGTCCCTTCCCTTCGGAAGGAAAGCTGCTTCTCATCCCGGGAACCTGGGCGTCCCCGTGTCACAGCTGCCGGCTGGCCTGTCACCTGAGCCCCGTCTCTGTGGGCCTGGCAGATGCTGAGCTGCGGGAGGATGAGCTGCCTGAGGTCTGCAGTTCCCCTGGGAGCAGCATCCGGGCCAGGGCTGGAGACGGTGGTGACAAGAGACGGCCCCGCATGTCCTGATGTCCTGGTCATGGCTTGGAGACCTCGGCCCCTCCCCGTGTCCGCTCGCCCTTCCTCCTGCCCTCACCGTGTTTGACTGGCGCTCCCTCTGTTGTTGCCCAGGAATGTGGCGTCACTCCAGATAGCGAGAATCTCACCCTGTCGTCATCAGGGGCCATTGACCAGTCGTCTTGCACGGGGACGCCTCTCTCTTCCACGATTTCCTCCCCAGAAGGTACGTGAGGGAGCGGGGAGGGCGAGGGAGTGGGGAGGGCGGCACGTCCCCCCCAGCCCAGTCCTCAGCCCTGTGTTTCCTCCGGAGCAGACAGACCCTGGGCAGCGAGTTAACACCTAAGCTGGTGACCAGCAGGCCCCACTGGAGGGGGAAGGGACTGCTGTCCCCGGGGCGAGCTGGGGGACAAGCACTGTCTTACCCCCAGTCCTGCAAGTCCCTGGTCCCCGAGTGAGTTCTGAGCTCTGAATGCGATGGAGCAGAGCCCTGGAAAACCTTCAGTCCAGCCCGGCCGCGTGGCTCAGTGGTGAGCGTGGGCCTATGAACTAGGAGGTCACGGCTCCATTCCCCGTCGGGGTGCAGGCCCGGGTTGTGGGCTCAAGCCCAGTGGGGGGTGTGCAGGAGGCAGCCGATCGTTGATTCTCATCATTGATGTCTCTCTCTCTCTCTCCTTCTCCCTTCCTCTCTGAAATCCCCCCCTCCCTCCCTCTCTCCCTGAAACCAATAAAAACCTATTTCTAAAAAAGGATAATAAAGAAAACCTTCCATCGAAACCCCTTCGGTGAGGGGGAGGCCAGGCCACTGTGGCCTCGCTGAGCGGGGCAGGGGCAGAGCTCGGCTCTTTCTCAGCTCCAGAGCCCATGCTGACCGTCCCCTCCTCCACCTCCCGTCTCCGCAGACCCTGCCAGCAGCAGCCTGGCCCAGTCGGTCATGTCCATGGTGTCCTCCCAGAGCCAGCACTCCCAGCTCAGCACCGACACGGTCTCCTCCATGTCCGGCTCCTACATCGCCCCCGGCACAGGCACGGGCACGGAGGACGAGGGAGAGGCGCTCCCCTCCCCGCTGGCCGCCAGCAGGGCCGCTTCCGAGGAAGGAGAGGTAAGGGCAGGGCACGGGGCCCCTCCATGTGACATATCCGGGGAGCCCCATCCGTGCTGGGAAGGAGAGCCATGGAAATGGGGGAATAGAACCCAGGGGTCCCCGCTCAGGCCTGACTCTGCACAGCACCACTTTTTTGTTGTTGTTAATCTTCACCCAAGGATATTTTTCCATTGATTTTTAGACAGTGGGGGAGAGAGGGAAAGACAGAGAAACATCGATGCGAGAGAAACACATCGATTGGTTGCCTCCTGCACACGCCCTGACCAGGGCCGGGGCTGGGGAGGAGCCCGCAACCAAAGCATGTGCCCTTGACCGGAATCGAACCTGGGACCCTTTGGTCCGCAGGCCGACGCTCTATCCACTGAGCCAAACCAGCCAGGGCTGCTTGGCACCACTTCTGTCGCGAGGACGTGGTTGGGGTTTGCTGGGAGGCGGGTGAGCTGGGTGCCCCCATCGCCAGCGTGTCCGCGCCTCCATTCTTGTTACTCTTGCAGGCGATGCCGGCGGCGTCTCCAGACAGCAACTTTGTGGGCCTCGCTGACGAGCAGGACGCAGAGGTAACCCCCATGGGGACGTGGTGCCCCTCCCGGCCAGAGGTCAGAGGGCCCTGGTGCTGGCTGGGGACGCAGACGGGAGGGGCGCTGTTACGGAACAATCCTCCCAGGTGGCGTTCGGGTCAGGCGTGCTGGGGAGGGACAGCAGCTGCACTCGGGGCCGGGGGGTGTCCAGTTAGCAGAGGGCACTGGTCTCGGGTTACAGACACGGAGTGGGCTTTGAACACCTGTTTGTCCCTCATTCACTTAGTGACTATTACACAGGTGACTGGGTTGCGGGTGCTGGCCGGCCCGGGGGCCATGAAGGCCTGAGTGGCCTGGCTTCTGCCTGCCCCCCACCTTCTGTACCCCCAGACGGGGAGACGGGGTGACAGTTCAGCGTGAGAAGTGCCTTGACCAAGGTGTCACAGGGCGGGCTCTAGAACTTCCCTTTTTAACTCTAGGTCAGCGGTTCTCAATCTGTGGGTCGCGACCCCTTTGGTGGTCGAATGACCCTTTGACGGGGGTCGCCTAAGACCATCATCCTGCATATCAGATATTTACATTGCGATTCATAATAGTAGCAACATTACAGTTATGAAGTAGCCACGAAAATAATTTTATGGTTGGGTCACAACATGAGGAGCTGTGTTTAAAGGGCCAGAAGGTTGAGAACCGCTGCTCTAGAACTTCTTCTTGAGCCATATATTCCCAGAGGAGAGTCTGGGTAGGGTTTGCAATCGGAAGGGGTTTCTGTGAGGTTGGGGTCTCAGCGCTGTTTCCTCAGACATCTGTTCCCACCTTAGAAAGCAGACGAGCTAACCCAGCACCAAGGCTATTGCCGGCATGTCCAGCTGCATCCGAACACGCCCCAGACCAGTCCCTCCCCAAGCCGGCCAGCCCCTGCCCGGCCTCCCGGGCACCTCCGACTCCTACGCTGTCGCCGCCGGCCCTGGAGTTAAACCCGTGAGGGTCACTAGTTCGGGCTCCAGCCCATGAGTGTGCAGTTGGCCCTTACACGGCACAGTTCGGGCCGCCTTGTCCTGGAATCAGCTGTCTTTCAGGTCTGCAGTGGGGAGCCCCGTGGGCAGAGGCCGGCGGAGATGTGGACAGCTCCCCGACCCACGCTGTTCCCGGCCCACTGCGCTCCCGCTATGCTCCGAAGCCTCAAGCGCCTTCCTCTGTTGTAGGGCAATGACGTCATGGAGGAAGATGATGGGTCCCCCACACAGGAAGACGGTAAACGACCTGCTCTTGGCTCCCTCTCATCTGTCCTTCCCCGGGTGTTCTTTCACGGGCGCAGAGGGGGCCCCGGGGTGAGCGGGTGGCACTCCTCAGCGTGTGCCCCGGGGAAGGTCACCTTCCTGATGGGATGGGCTGTCCGAGGACCGCAGTGCCCGCCCGGCTCACTCGGGATGGGGGTGCAGCAGAGGACGGCTCCCCCTTTACATGGAACACATTCCGAAGCTTCTTGGGCAGCTCCCACCGCCTGTCTTCCTGCTCCGGCCCCCAGCCGGGTCCCCCAGAGCTCTCAGCGCCCCGCGGCGATGCTGTCTCCTCCGCGTGGGAGAAAGGACTCGGGCTGCGGGTTTGGTTTTGCTGTAGCGAAGGAGGCGGCTGACGTTGCCGGGACAGGGATCCCAGGAGCCAGCAGCACAGGGCGGGCGGGTCCGTAGCTGCCCGAATGGTTTTCTCAGGCCTCCAGGACGCCCTCCGGTGGAGCGTGGAGCAGTGTGGTTTCTAGTGCCGATAAGAGGAGGGGTGGCCTGCAGAAAAGGGAGTGGGGAGAGGGGGTGGGGCTGGGCCTGGCCCCCCAGGGGATGGAACCCAGCTCTCCCCTCTGCTCTGAGGCGCCTCTGCAGAAGGACACCTCCAAAGCAGACCTGACGCGCGGGGTGCAGACGCCACCCTCATCGCTTCTGCTTCAGCGCTGGCCGTTGCTTGGGGAGTTCAGGGTGCGCATGCGGACTTGGCCACTCTGCCTGGCCAAGTCGCCCTGAAAGAGGGGATGGCCGCCAGGCGGGGCCTCCGCCACCCTCTGCACAACGAGGCCCATGACCTCAGTGCTCAGGGCTCCCTTTGGGACTGTCCCCAACGCCCCCCCCCCTCAATATCTGCTTCCGACAAGCTCAGGCCGGTCCCAGGTTCAATTCCGATCAAGGCCATGTACCTTGGTTGCGGGCACATCCCCAGTAGGGGGCGTGCATGAGGCAGCTGATTGATGTTTCTCTCATCGATGTTTCTCTCTATCCCTCTCCCCTCCTCTCTGTAAAAAATCAATAAAATATAAAAAAAAGAAAGAGGGAGCTTGAAAAAAATAACTGCTAAAACTCTACCCTCCCCCTCTCACATGTCTGTAGGTTTCTGGCTAGTCCCCTTAAAATGTCCTCAAGATAACAAATTTCGTGAAGTCCCATAAGAAGATGGCTCCTAACTTGGTGCATGTGGCAGTTCTGACTTGACATGCAAACTTAGGGAACCTGCGAGACCTGCGATTGTTCTGGTATTTAGCATTTGCAGAGCCCTGTGGTCACAAGCACACCCGACAGGACCCACAGGCACAGGCAGGAGTAGGGCAGCTCCTCCGGCGGGTCCCCAGCTCCTCCCGCCCCCGGCAGAGCTCCCCTCCCCCAGGCTCCGGCTCCTGCGGAACAATGGCTGGAAAGGGGCCAGTGAGGGAACGGGGCAGGCTAGGTCGGGAACGTGAACCTGCCCACACAGTTACATTCCTTATTGTCCACTCTTTACCCACTTAATTATTGTCTTTCTTTTTTTTTAAAAACACATGATTCGGTTTGTTTGTCTCCATCCTTAAGATGTTTATGTTCAGGACAGCAGAGCAGAGACGTGTCCAGCGCGCCCGTCTAACTGCGTGAACTCCCTTACAGGCCAGAGGACGTGCGCGTTTCTAGGCATGGAGTGTGACAATAACAATGACTTTGACATCGCAAGCGTGAAAGCACTGGACAATAAGCTGTGCTCTGAGGTCTGCTTACCCGGTGAGTGGCAGTCTGCTGAACGTGAACTTGGTGGGAGTCGCTCCCCTGCTCACACCCCTGCTCTCACCCCGGGGTGCCCACCTCCTGCCCTGCGGCTCCTGCAGAAGCCTGGGCTGTGCTGGGATGCCGAAAGCTGCTGCTGAAAGGAAGTGTGTGCCCCGAGGGTGAAGGTCAGGCCGGAAGGAGGGAGCAGCTCTCCCTCTCCTTCCCATCTTCCCTGTCTTCCTGACGGGCCCTCCATGGCGATCTCGCAGATCCCATGGCGGGCGGCCTGGCCTGTGTCCCCCACCGGCGGTGTGGAAGGCAGCCGGAGCCCTTACGAAGGGCATCCGCGGCTACTCGGCAGGAAGGTGAAAGCCAGCATGTTCTCGATGCGTGAGAGGCTCTGTGACCGTGAGCTTTGGGGGACCAGTCGCCTTGTACTTGTCAGCGCTGGATCCCAGAGGAGAGGTCAGGGCTGGAGGGTGACCGTGCCCCCTGGAGCCCTAACCTTACATTTCATCAGGGCTGTCAAGGCCCCTTCCTCCTCCTCACGATGCTACAGGGAACCCAGGCCGACTTCCTGCAGAGGAGCCGCGGTACCAACCGGTGCGCGCTGCCCTCTTCCCCCCGCTGTGCCCAGGTGGGGGCTCCCCGAGCCGCTTCTCCAAAGCCCGGGCCTGCCCCCGCGGACTCGGTCAGACTGCCCTCCGGGTTTTACGGCAGACACTGTCCCTCACACGTGTGCTCCGTCATCGCTCCGCCGGCCCCTGAAATGGAGACATTTCAGCCTCAGAGCAGCCCCCTGGCATCGCGGTCCAGTGCTTTACGCGTTCCGCGAAGTGGCCGCGGCTTTGGGGCCACACGGCCGCTGTGGTTGCCACGCTCCATCGGCCTGGGAAGGACACGGTCTGCACGCTCGGGCCGCAGGAAGCCGGGCCTGGAGGCGCGCCCTCCAGCCTTTCCCGGGCTCCTGGGTCGAGGGCTGACCCAGGCCGGTCTGGACGTCACTTCCTGCCTCCCATCCCCACCTCGCTTCTGTCTGTCCGTTTGTTTTCTGCCTTTTTCAGTTCTCTGGTGTCCTGTAGGCTGTGTGTGGAGGCCCGCGTCCGCTCTGTGCCAACACTGTCCTCCGGCTACGCCCCCGCGCTTGCTGGGCCAGCGCCTCCCGCTTCGGTTCCATCCCTAACCGGCAAGGGCCCGTGTTCATAGACTAGGACTTTTCCAAGAAAAAAAAACTATTTGGGAGGATATATCCATTCCTGTTCCAGAAAAAGGGGGTGCTTCTGTACAAGGGTCCTGGGGCGGGTTGGTCCGGCCGCAGATGGCATCTCTGCCCTCGCTCCGCCGTGTGTGTGTGTGTGTGTGTGTGCTCACTGGGCGTGCGTGTGTGCATAGGAGAGTCTAGGTGCCTGCTCCCCTTTAGCCCCCCCCCCCACTTGTTGGCAGAGGGAGCTGCTGGGAATTGTTGGAGCCAACCAAGCTGCTGGAAATGCGAGCGTATTCCCTCTGCTTCCTCCTCTCCCTCACCCTGCGGCCAGCCTGCTGGTTGACATTCAGTCCGCTCTCTCGGGATCGGGGAGGGGAGTGAGACAAGGAAGGAAGGACCCCTGGGGTTCCTTTTGGGGATCTGAGATTAAAGTGGGGTCACGGCTGAGACCAGACACACGAATCAAACCGAGCGCTGTGATGTCTGTCGGGAGAGGGACTCGGTGTAAGCGCTTGAGGTGTCTGTCCATTGTCTCCTCGCCAGAGGTCCGGGGCTCTTAGGAGTCTGGGTCGGCCGGGAGCACCATGTGGGGAGCAAAGTGCTGGGGAACCCTCCGGAAGCGTCCGCGGGGTTCGTGGCAGGCGTACCAGCTTTGGTAGGTCCCCTGGGATGGAGGGGCCTCGGCCTTAAGGTCAAACTTCCATCCCACGATGGAGATCCCCAGGTCCCTCCCCACCGGCCGGCCGGGCTCCTCGGGCCTGTGGGCTCCAGGCGGCTTCCCTTGGTCTGTTTCCCTCTCCAAGCAGAGGGTGCTCCCCTCGAGGAGGGCCCATGAGAAGCAGAGCCGGGGGCACCCCACTCTCCCTGTCCCCATCACCCTCCATGCTCACGGTGCTCGGCCCGGGAGGCGCGGCCAGCTGGTGGCGAGGCCCACACAGGTCTCCGTCAGAGTGACGCCGACAGGGCACCTGTGTCTCGGAGCCTCTCATCCCCTAAGAAGCCTCCGGGGTTCTCGGGCCGGACACCCAGGGCCGGAGGGGTGTCCCCAGGTTGTTGGAGAGGCTCTGCTCTCCAAGGGCGGGCAGCGAAGCGGACAGGGCAGGGTGAGCAGTTGGGAATTCTGAGACCAGCAAAGGAGTGGCAGGTCCAGGGGATCGGACGGGCTGTCACCCAGGTGGCAGCGGTCGGGGACCAGCAGTCGTTCAGCGAAAGCTTCTGGGAGGTTGATGGGAACGAGCGAAGATGACGGGTTCAGTCCTGGAAACACTGCAGTTTTGAAATGGCCTCATGGGGCAGCCGTGGGCGTAGCTAACAAAACTGAAAATGCCGGTGGAGACGAGTGGGTGACCCAGACCAGGAGGCTCCTGGGGAAGGCGGCACTCGGTAGAGACTGAGGAAACAGCCAATTCACACCACCCCCCCTCCAGAAACCTCAGGAAAGGGGTGCCCTGGACGTGCTCCCCAAATCCGCCTCTAGAGGTCTCTTCACTCACCCATTTCTGGGTCCCCGAAACGGGAATTGAAGGGAAGCGCCTTTACCTGTCTCCCCCTGAGAGTTTAAACCTCTGAGCCCCGTTTTCTGGCCGGAGTCTCCCCAGCATCCGGGTTCCTTCCTGTGGCCAGGCTCGCCCCCTGGACCGGGTGAGCAGAGGCAGCGTCCCCTGTAGGGAGAGGGCAGTCCAGGCGCATGGGTAGCCCCAGGAGAGCGGATGCCAGCCCGGGAGCCTGGAGGCCGCCCCGAAGGCAGCAGTGTCGGCCGGGGAGGGTTCTGGAATGGCCGTGTCTGCTGCGAGGGCTCCTGTGAGCTCAGCAGGACCCCGGCCCGCGGTCTGGGGCAGCGGCGTTTTGTTCTGTGCATGCGTGTGTGTCTTCGCTCCTGTTCACCATCTGCTTCTGGTCTTTCCCACCGCACAGCGCAGCTCCGGAGTCCTGCCCCCTAAACCCCGAGGACTAGGTATGCGACCACCCCACTGTGTACATGACACAGCTCCTGCCGCCTCGGGGCTCCACGTCACCGGCGGCCTCGCCTTCCCTTCTTGGTCCTGCGCACGCAGAGTGCCGCCCTCGCAGGGAAGGAGCTGCTGACCCCCATCCCCGATGCCGGTACCCCAGGGACCAGCGGCCCCCCAATTCCGGCTGGGTGTGCGACACCTGAGGGTTTCCCTTCTGCTCACCCCTCTTCCCCGGGGCCCACCTCCCCGACTATCAGAGCCCTGAAAGCATTATCGCCCAGCACGTTTCTTGGAAATAAGCGGTTGATGCCGCTTAACCCCAGAGCCTCTGCCACCAGAGGGTGTGGGTTGGCTGGCCTAGCCTGCAGCCGGCCCCCCACATTTGTGAGTGTCCCCCCTCAAACATGAGCACGGCCAACCTCGGCCCCGCCCTGCAGAGTAGGTCGGCCCTGCTCAGGAGGTGGTCCAGGCACAGCGTGAGAAGTGGGGCGTCCATGCGGGCTTCAGGGGAGCCCTCCGACCCCCTGGGCCTCATCTGGCAGGGCCTGTGGAGGCGGGTGGGGGCTCCGCTGCTCGGAGCCCCGAGTTAGGTCTTCCTCCTGTGCTGTGGGCAGCCTGGCCCTACCTGTCCACGAGCGTCTCCCTGCGTGGATGGAGCCGGGCCGTGGGCAGGGAGGGTGGGCAGGGGGAGATGCGGAGAGGTGAGCATGCGGGGACAGAGCCTGGGGCACTGGCCATTGTGCACCTTCTGCTAGTGGGCGCCCCGCTGGGCGGCGCTCTCCCCGTGACCTCACCCAGTCCGCAAGCTCATGCATGCGGGAAGGCAGGGAGCCAGGCCGCCGGAGGCCTCGTCCTCTGCTCCAT